GTCTATAGGGCCATGACCTTGTCCATGACCTTGCTATTAATATTAATTATTAACAAAACTTGGGACTAAAAACCTCTGAGATTATATTAGTTGTACTGGGGCTGGTTGTTTGAAAGGTGGATAGCACTATCCACCGGATAGTGATTTTTTCAAGCTTTGTTAAATCAGTCGTTGATTGGTATAACTCCTATTTAACGTTTACTATTTTTAAGTTAAATGTTTTTTCTACTTCTTGTGTCGTCTATATCCGTAGTTTCACAGTTTTTCAAGCATTTTACAAAGGTTGAAAAAATCACTATCCGGTGGATAGCGCTATCCAACCATCGAACAACCGGCACCTGTACTGTATTGGCTAGTGTGGTCAACTTGATCTGAACCACGTAAACCGTATTCTCCTTCTATACTGTATATTAAAAAATGGATTTTCATTAATATTTACTTTTCAGCTTTGAAACTTGTAAACGGTCGCTTGGTGTTTGTAAAAGAGTGTGGTATAAGCCAAAAGAAAACTTCTAACCCATGGGAGTGCTTTCTTATTCCTAATGCTCACTCCAAGAGACTGTTCTTCTTTAATGACATCACAAAGGATATCTACAATTCTGCCTTTATAAAGCTTCAGTCACGCTTCAAACAATATCTGGATCAGCAGCGAATTTTCCGTTGGGAGGTGAGAATTTGAAGCATGGGCAAGTTTAAATTTTATATATATATATATATATATATATATATATATATATATATATATATATATATATATATATATATATATATATATATATATATATATATATATATATATATATATATATATATATATATATATATATATATATAGACTTTTCGGGATTGTGCCCGACTAGTACTGAAAACTTTTTTCCGGAAAATTATTTTGGCGACCTCCCCCCCGAGTTGGTAAAGCATGATCTCTCTACATAAATTGAGACTCCTTACTTATACACAGGCGGTCACGCAAAAATCTCACATCTTGTAGCAAGTATGCTAACAACCTTGATGATATTATCGGACATGTTGTAAGGTTGTTCCAACAAGTCCGATACAGTCATGATATAACCATATTCTTACAATCTTATGTTGTCAACCTTGCAACATTCTTGTTGTATGATGATTTTGATCACCCAAAAGTCTTATAAAGTAACAAGTCTGATAATGCTACCAATTTAAAGTTTGTTATAAGTTGTTAACAGCGTGTTCGACTCTTGTTACAACAACTACGAACAAGCAGTGCGAACACAATTGTGAACATATGTGTAACAACTTGTTTGCCGACTTGCACAACTTGACATGTGCGTTTTTACGCGTGTGAAGAAAATGAAATATTTCTTGCATACATATCGTAAAGCCACGTACCAACTCAGAAATTAGTGGGAAATCGTGCGGTTGCTACTTGGAGTTTCACGCGCACATAGGTGATCACCAGGCAACTTCGTGTAGCGACAGTAATATTTCCACTTTAAAAATTAAAATAGTAGTTATTAATACAAATGCAACCCCCTAACTGTCGAGAAATATACCATCAATGCAATGTCATTACAGATGGCTTGATCATTCTGCAATACTGTATCCGATTATGTCACAATCTTATGTCATGTTTTCCAATACTTTCATTTTTTGTTTATTTGTTCTGTAACAGGACAATAAACGCATTGGTAACACTAAACGACACATTAAAAAACACATCCTCCAAACTCCATTTAATACCGGAATCTTGAATTTGAATCTGCGAGTCCACGCTTTCATGTATTGGACCAGTCCACAACAAGGCCGGCGAGAGGGGGGCGGGGGAGGGGGGCAAAATACCCGGGGCCCGGAGTGCTCAGAGGGGCCCGGAAATCTCGGTAAAATGTTCGTATATTGTTTATCATCGGCAATTGCCAGAGGGACAGGGGCCCGTGTTCACAAATCGTCATTTTATCCCGGGGCCCGTGGTTGGCTCTCGCCGGCTTTGGTCCACAAGTCCACTTCTGGTTTTGTACTATATCCTATGCCTTTAAATCTTCACATTGCACGTCCCACTAACCGCCAAGTACGTTGTATATGTTATATAAATAGAAACAATGGCCAGGGGAAGTAACTGTCAGTAATTGAGCTAGGGAGAGTGTCAGAAGAAACAAACTCTGACTGCACGTCTTTGTATGATAATGCTAATTAATACTTGTCTGTATGGTGGAACAGAGGAAAAATAACATTTCTTGTTCATAGTTAGCCTTTATGGTTACAGGCATTTGACTGTATGTTAATTTAAATTTAAGCACTTATAAAACTTTCAACAAAAGTTCTTCTTCAACATTAGTTTAAAAGAAGGGTCCAACTAGAAGTCTCGCAGTTTGTTCATTTTGTAAGGAAATTACCAGCCACTACTGATCCTACAAATATGTGCATGATAATGCGATTAACTTGTCTGTGTGATCAGTAATAAATAGGGGATTAGAGCCAACGATTTGAAACTAAACACAATTTTGAAAAGAATGTCAACAGCGCCAAAGAGTCTGGCCACGACTCTTTGGTGGCCAAGACCAGATTGCACATTTTTGTATGAATTGTAATCCATTTAATGATTGTAATTTACAACTGCTGATTGTATTTTTTGCAATCAAAGCAGCGATTTCGCTTATTAAATATTTCTGCCACAATATCGCTCAAACCTCGTGAGAATTATGTTGCTTAAGTTGCGACAGAGCCTTTTGTAACTATATAACTGGCAGAGAGAAGCCCCCTCCCCCATTCCCCATTATTCCTCCTCCAATCACTAGTTTTCCCCTTCTCAGTCAAGGTCCTTTTTTCTCTAAAATATAAGCAAATTATTGCAAGGAAAATGGAATTTAGAAGGGAATATGGAATTTAAATGGAATTTGATATTCTAATAACTGAACATTCGTTTGTGAAACTTATATAATGTTTTTTTTTATCTCCAATTGATTCAATGTCTTCTTAAATATGCTAAATATTGTGTTGTAAACACCTAAGAATTTAAAATCTCCCAATGGATAGCATATTCCAGACCTTGTAGATTTGAGTAGTTGAAGGCTTTAGGCTAAACAAGTTGTTGATCGAGTTGTAATATTTACATAAACATGGCATGCTAGTTACTATTATGACTGAAGATTCATTCTATCCACAGTATAACGCAACTTACGCTGTATATCAAAAAATATGATATCTTTCAGAAAACGCAGGAAATGCAATTCTATTGGGGACACACCGCGGAAAAACGTCTGCGCATGTACCAAATTATGAAAATATGGCGGGGAATTTGATTATCAATTTCTAAAACAAAAACATGCTTATTAATTGGTCAAAAATTAGTACAACAAACGAGAAAATATAGCAAATGGGTAGACTAGACATTAATTGAAAGCGTCCTGGCATTTAAAGTATGGAATGAAATATAATTCATGTAAAAAATTGTTGATTTCAACGGACACGACTTCGAAAATATTTGCAAAATTATTCAAAACAAAAATTCAAACTCAAAAGTTAAGAAAACTCTCGAAAAGTTAAGCTTCTTAACCCACTCAAATTGTAGAATAAATCCTATAGTTTAATTATTGCGAACACGACAATTTTTTATGTTTGGCGACACAGTTTTTTTTAAAGAAATGTATCTCGAACGAAAATTTGGAAATTGTCGTTGCTTAGTTGATAAACAAAATGTTTCACACGATAAATTTGTCAACAATCACCTTTAGTTCATGTTCTTCTACAATACAATTTCTTGAATCTTCTGGCTGTATTTATTCCTAGTTTTTAGAATGACATGTTTATTTTTGCGCTCGAAATCACTCCTTTTTACCGCCATTTTGAGCCTTCGGAAACGTTCGGAACAGCTTCTCATCAAGTTTGTAATACTATTACAGGTAAGGTTGACGCATGCGCAGACGTTTTTCCGCGGTGTTTATGGGGGAGGGGATACGAACATTCTCTGGAAAAGACCCCCAGATCGATCTCCCTATGATATGACATCACGCCAATCTTTTTGTCACTGACAACCATCTGTCACCTCTCTCCACTCGCTATGGTATAATCCCCTTCTGTAGATGCCCCCTGACGAATTATTAAAAAGGCTCTGAATTGCGATTAGCAGTACATAAACAAATGAAGTCGGTGATAGATCGTTCGGTCTTGGCCGCCTATCAACAACAAGAGTGAAAAAACACCCAGCTAACATCATGCATTAATTGCAGCTCGATTCCTACTTCAGGTCAAACGTCCATTGCATAATTATAATTACCAACACCTGGTGCAAAAGAGAGAGAAAACGAAGTCAAAAGATGCTGTCTCTACCTTACACTTGCGGCAAACATAAGAGATACCATAAGAATCGAAATCAACAAATAATAATAGAATATTTGTCAAAAGACGTTACCAAACCGTTTATTAAGAATTCGTCACAATGGAATAATAAAAACATACTGTAATGACGTTATAGAACATAATGACGTTAATAGATCATGTAAATGGTGAATGTTGATTACTTGGTGCAAACTGCGCATGTCAGTTCCGCACCTTGTATATATGGTAGACATGGCAAAGAACCACAATGACTCTCGACTACATACAACAAACCACCGTTTAAGTTTGCTTGAGTTCCTGGTCTAGCTTCTGGGGCACCATCTACGCAAATAAATTCACTTCGTTTATGTGAAATGTGTTCCGACATTAAGTAACCGTTGTACTCTTGGGTCCAACCTTTTGGACAGACGTTGCGAGCAGGGATCATCACCTGACTTCCACGTGACTCAGCAAAGCACACGGCGCATACTGCTTCATGGTCGTGAAGATTTTTCGGGAAAAGAGGTGCGTGTGCATTCATTTCATATTCAATTCCATATACATATGAATAACCTTGGTTGCCATTCACAGTCTTACTGTATATTGGATCTAGTGGCATACAGAGACGGTTTGAAGCACCACCAGCGTGAGTATAATGCGAGCCACCCATTACACCTGCAAGAGAAAAGCAGTATAATTGTGAAGAAACGAATCAAAGCGCCATTTTCATGTTTCGCGCACGAATTTATTTCTCATTGATCTTGATATCATGGGCCTGGGCGTCTAAAAACCGATTTACACTACACAACTATTGGCTAAATCTCTGGAATGCAACCTGTTTACTCAAGTTGAGTTATAATTGTAAATGATGAGCACAACTCGCCTATATTGTCGTAATTTGATTTACACAATATAACTCAAGTTGTACGCAGGTTTCATTCGTCCACAGTTTTAAGCAAACGTTTTATGCAAACGTTATTTAGTGTAAATCGGCATTAAAGTTTTCCATCAATTTTATTGCTCAAGTTTTCCGCACAACTTTTGCCAAACTGGATTTCCTAACTAGAATAATAAAAGCCTAAACGTTTGAATATTAAGACAGCGAATGATATACACACCCGAATATAACAGGGTAGTCCCACTGCGACAGCTCTTCCTACCCCATCTTGTATACACGGATCCTCCAGAACCCCCTCCTGCTCCTGGGTAACCTCGAGGTCCTTGAGGTCCAGTTTTTCCCGGTGGTCCTAAAGGAAATATGTAATTTTTTTTCGTCAACTGATCTGAAATCATATCTGGATAGACAATCTGAAAAATAAGCGCGAGGTGGACCTTACCAAAATTGAAAACGAAATAGATATATATATGTGTGTCAATTTTCCTAATTGAAAAGAAATTGAGCCATACTCTTTTAAATTTGTTTTCATATGATAAGCAAATTTCGATAATTTCGAAATATTATTATTACAGTAATTTCGATAATTTCCAATTATTCATTAATTTTTCCACCATAGGCTGGCTAACAATAATTTAAGATTAATTACACTACAACGCAGTTACTGAATGTTTTAATTGTCTGAAGTCCAGTTTTTCTCCCCCCCCCCCACCCAGTTTAGTTTATATTCTGCAGTAAGCTATCATGTATTTGTGTCAAATTTTATGAATAAGGTTACCAATTCGTCTATCGAGCTAACACAAGCCCCTCGTTAACATGTAAGGAGCAAATGGTCGTGTATCAATGGCTCCACGAATTACGTTTCCCGAAATGTTATTGCATTTATATAAATACGCGAGAAGGAGGTTTTCATAATCTTTCCTGTTACAATAAAGGTATATACAAACAAGATTATACGTATATAAGTCGTGAATATATATTTGTATAACAAGTTTTAATTTTTGCCAGAACGAACTTAATGAAATATGCTATGGAGTTACTTTAACACGTGAAATTTGCTGTTGCCTACCTGGAACAATACTGTCACGTCCATCTCGGCCTGTGGAAACGAAAAATTTTATGACAAGAAATTGAAGATAAGATAAAACAAGGGGTGGCTTCGCATTTACTTCTGCTCTTGTCAAGGCAACACAATCGTGTAACTATTAATTATTGCATATAAAATATCATGCATGATATGTCTAATTTGATTTGTTAATGAAACGATAGGAGAGGTGTTAAAGCTTCATTTAAATGGAGTTCAATCGTCTCTGTAGCCTATAAATAATTATTTAGTAATTATTTTTGATGTTTTAAACATGCTTTTATAATAAGGCTATATATAACGTAATCCATCTGGATTTTTGTGTCATAGATGCAAAATAGTCATAATTAATTGCAGAAGTCGAGAGCCAGTAGCACCAACGAAACGGGAGAAGACTTAAAAATAGAGTTTCTTATAATGGTTAGATCGTATAGGCATAAAATGGTATGAGGGATCAATGACTTAAGTCAAGCAATTCAAATGTTGCTCGACTCCGGATATCCTTGCAATATTCGCCGCTAAATAGAGCGAAGAAATTTGTTATTCAAATATATATGCAAATAATATCAAAGATATTTCTTTTAAGACTCACTAACATTTTGTTTTCTATTATGCTCTCCAAAATGAAATCTATAACATGCAGTTATTATCTATCTATCTATTTAGTTTCAGAGATTAGTCCTGTATATACGTTACTATTTAATAAAAAATGATATATAAAAAACAATGTCTGGCTACTTACCATCCCTTCCAGGCAGGCCTTGTGGTGGACAGTTTGGATCTTGGACATCCGATTGAACAACATTTTCATTATTTACTTCATCTCTATATATTGAACCAGTGATCAATAACGAATTAGCTAAACCTGTTTATGACTGTTGTTTACATTTACAAGCTTGTTTTAAAATTATATTGAAGTTTCACTGCATGCTATACATCCGCACCCTATTGATCTTCGCAGATATTAAAATAAGCTACTGTAGTACATGGCTTCTGAAGGACAGATTCAAACGAACAGCTTCCCAGTACGTGGGTTATTTAAATCCAGTTTCTTCGGAACAAGCAAGCTTTCTCAGTCGCTCCGTAGCGCGTCCATCGAACACTGATTTCTTGATATTTACGGCTCACAGACCTCGCAACTTTGTTATTTACGTGCATATGCTCAAGTTAATACTGGGTTATATCCAAAAGCTTAGCTAACAATTAATTCAGTTCTACTAAATGGTTTGCAAAATGTTGTAAGTTGTAGGTATAACCATACCTTATCTCCAGGTCGCTGTTCGGCGCACCAAAGTTGGCATGAATGTGACAAAATATTATCAAAATTGCAGAGAAAACTTTATGGCAAACCATCTTGTTGCTTGCTGCAAATAAGACACTTGCTGTTTCCACGGAATACAACTTGAAGTCAGTAATGAATCGAATTAAGTTCAAGGTTGAAGGCCTTTCTTTGGCGCTCCCTTAATAATGTTTATTTCCCCTGGTACCGCTCTCGAGTTTTTATAGTGCAAAAAAAGCTAATTATAATATAGCATTTGTAAATTCTGAACGCTGATTGGCTAAGAGCCGTGTTGATATATAACTCATTGTCAACACGGAAACGAAAAATTTCTTTCTTAATATTTCTTTGTGCGATATTATAAAACAAATATAAAACTTTTTTTCGTATTGATATAATAGTTCTATCAACACTCGTGGAAATTGGGAAAACTCGAAATTGTGTGAAAACACTCCGCCCTTTTCCCAATTTCCACCTGCGTTGATATAACTATATATAAATCAACACGGAAAATGTTTTATATTTGTTAATTGTCACAATTTGCGTTTGTTTGTGCGTAATGTGGGCGTGCAAATTTGAAAGGTTAATTCAATTCCACAATGTGTTGTAAAAATGTTATTGCTCTTGGACATAAGATGAAGTGCAAACACTTCAGGCAGAGTCATTCATTATATAGGTGCTAAGGTGAGATGGTTCCTCTTTGTTCTTCGTCATTTGCATTGTAAATAATGTTTAGTTCCCCTGGCTTTGTCTTTGACAGTGTTTGCATATACCAGGAAATTAAAACTGACGACCTACAGCAATTTTCTCATAACATCGTATAGTTTTGAATTATTTGATTTAATTTAACTTCTTGTTTTTCAAATGTTGCAAAACATGCACGTAAAATTAATGTCGAAAATCTATGCTTTAGAATATCTCGAAAAGGAAATGTATTATAAAGTGTTTGAAGATTGTTGGACGGTTTTTGGGTATGAACGGGCCTTAATTAATAATCAGTTAAGTTTCATAAATGTAAAAGACAAGTTTCGATCGCGAATACCTATCAAGTTGGGCATGTTTTGACCAATTCCATTCTCATGTGTAATTAAAATCATCAAATTATTGTAATTTATTATATTATAAATAATATAATGCTATTTGGTTTTGGTCTTCAGAAGCTGCGGGAAAGCAGTTTATATTAGGGGGGGGGGGGAGGAGTGGCAAAATATTTGCCAGATTTTTAGTGTATACATCAAAATTTGTAATTTTATTGGAAAGTAATTCGGTGTATTGCAGTAGTTGTTCACATGCATGGCAAACTGGAGCCAGAGACTTCAAATTACTTGATGTGCATGTTAGTATATAATAAAGTACAAAACAAGTGAAATTGCAAAAATCGATAACATTTATTTCTTTTTTTAAATTTTGATAGATAGATAAATCAAAAGGGTTTGGATTTTGGAGTTTCACTTGTTTTGTATTTTGTTAAAATACTCTAAACATTTGGTTCTAAACATTTTTAGTATAACAACGGAATGCAAATAAACGATAGTTTTAAAACTTTATTTATTTAAAGCAGTGTTTATAGCAGTTTGTGAGTTTAGATGTTAATATCCATGCCATTAGCTATTGTAATTTGTATACTAGTGAGTTCAATTTCTCCTTATGTAATGTTAATTGTGACAGTTTAAATGCATTTTTGTGCAGTTCTAATCTAACTTTCCTTTAGTTAAAATCAGGAGCGCCGGAAAGTCGATAATTGGGGGGGAGGGGGCAGATATTCCTGTTCACAGACTGTAAAAACAATCGCTTTCAAAGGAAATAAATGATGCAGAACATGAATATATGAACTTTCCGGCGCCCCTGGTTAAAATTGTAATTCTTTGACACACATGCCTGAAGACCAACTGCAGGCATTATATATAGCTTGAACTTGGTTTTGAAATAATCTTAGTTCTCCTGGCTGTAATGTGTTTTATTCCACACAGACAAGACTTGCTACTAGTACTTAATGTTCATACAAAGACGTTAAATGTGCGGATATACAGTACTGGATTGACCAGTTGATTTCTTTATTGAAATCACTCACAAGGATTTGAAGTGTAGACACCTCAAACTGACCCTTCGTCGTTTTCGTCACTCCTTCCAAAGTTAATTTTAATTTCGCGGCTCTATTCCACTGCGGTTTAATCGACATAAAAACAAGTTAATTATCATACTAAGGAGATTATTGATTTGAATACGCTCATACAGTCGTGACCGAGGACTTCCTTAGAAAATGAACAAAAGGGCGGGACTTCATTGCTTATTATAAGTAATAGCATGGCTTGAGGGAGATTAGTGATTAAATGGCCCCGTAACCCGAGGCAGGTTTGCGGAATTCCCGAGGGCGAAGCCCGAGGGAATTCCGCAAACCTGCCGAGGGTAAGGGGTCATTTAATCACTAATCTCCCGAAAAGCCATGCTATTAGTTTGTAATAGCATAGTTTCGCTCCCATTTAAAAATGGACAAACATGCCCTACTTGGAATCAGCGTATTTAAGCTAAAACATTTGCTTCATTGCTTGTGGGATGTAAAAGCTTGTTGCACATGCGCACTTTTTACGCTTTAATAGGTTACGCATGCGCAATCTATCATTTAACGTACCACAACAAACACGCTAAATATATTAGTATAAATTTGGAGACTGCACGTGCGTAATTTAAATGATGCGGCAACTCAGAGATCGGATGATAGACTATTGACGGCTCTGAGCTAACTGTTGCTGTTCCTTGCACGATTATGTGCGTGAGGCACTTGCCTAATGCGTAGTCGTCAGGGAGACAAAGGTGTGACCCTTGGTAACGGGCGATTAGTTTTAATCGCCCGCTCTAGCGGGCGATTAGAACTAATCGCCCGCTACAGCGGGCGATACGTGATTAAACGTCCCTGTTGAAACAAAAGAAACCCGGGCAACTATGCTATTATGTAACTAATGGTTATTTCCCTTATTTAATTAAACCACAACACAAGTATGTTTAGGTTATTTTGAGACAACGAGGGGATGTATGTGATTTATTCACCGAGGCGCGAATTTAGGTTGCATTTTAAAAGTCATAATAGAAAGAAATTCGGTATATGAAAGACATTTAGTAAAACGAGTTCCAAACACTGATCACTTTTGTTTTAGAAAGAAAAAATTCAAAGCATGATAATTAGGAGAGAATATTACAGGGGATTATTAATATATTGTTTTGCCTTTGAATTTGGTCATTGTTTTCTGCCCCGCTCTCGATCCCCTGTTGAAACCAAAAGCCGTCCCCAGCTTTTGACACACGTAACTGGCAGGGGATCGATATTCAATATATTTTCTCTAAAGAACAAAGGAGACCGAGTAATATGAAAAACAAGATTTATAATTAGCATGCACAGACGTGCAGTCTGGTCTCTTTGTTCTTGAGCTCTCTCCAATAACTGAGTACTTATTTCCCCTGGCTTTCTCATTTGTATTTACATATCACGACACATAATTGCATTTGAGAAAACAATTGTAATATATATATATACATTATACAGGGTGTCCCAAAACCCCGAAAACTATTGAAATAATGTATTGTCAGAAGTTGAATGCATCAGCACTCTGTTGAACCCACACATGCATCAAAGCTTGACGTAAGTAAATTTTATGCATAAAGAAACTGTTTAAGGTGGCTCCCTACAGTTTTCTAAAATTTTCTTGATAGTTCTTAATAGTCATGACTATAGTCTTAATCGCATGACTATAGTCTTAATAGCCGTGACTATAGTCTTAATAGTCATAATTATAATCCTAATATTCATGACTATAGTCTTAATAGTCATATGATTATAGTCTTATAGTCATGACTATTTAACAATTAGACAACGAAGCCGAGTTGTCTATGAGCGAGTGGTCAACGAGGCGAAGTCGAGTTGACTATTTGTTCAGAGACAACGAGGCTGAGTTGTCTAATTGTTTTAGTATAAACCACATAAAGAAAACGGAAGTTATCACTTGACATTTATCTAAAATAATAACGTTTTAACGAAATAAGCGTTTAAATGGCTTCCTTGGGCGACATTTCGCCTCGGCCTTGTTGACAACTACTCAGTGTTGCGAACTCTCAAGAATGACTTAAAAAATAAAACTTGTGAGTTTTAAAAAAGTTAAAAAACATGTCGTAAAACAGTATAATAGTAAGAGACCGTTATAGAAACAAAGTTTGGTCAATTAAAATTTATTTAAAAGAAGGAAACTAGGCTTAAAAATTCCAAAATTTCGATCACAAATGGCTTCCCGAATTGTTACTAAATTAGTAAATAAAGTTGCACAAGCAAAAGAATCCGGTTATCCGAATGTCGTTGAAATCTTTAAAATATCTGGAACATAAAGAGGAAAACCATTTCCATAATCTAGTATACATAGACAATACTATGAGTTTAGATTAAATTTAATATCGAAAAACTCGACTTTAAAAGGCTCGAAAAGGCGAAAAACAAACTCGGCCAAAAAATCAACATTTAAACGAAAAAAACTCTTTAAAATGACAGCTAAATACATGTACTCGTACTTAAAACAAGCACACACTAAAGAGGTTGAGATAATATGAATAAATAGCTAAAAGTATTGTTGAATTTCAACGATTCTGCTTGGAATATTAACAAACATTAATTGTGCATATATTTTAAAAAATTGCCTGCACTTTCATGCTCAAAACAACGAGCAAAGTTGAGAAAACTTAAAAATTTTACCGCATGTGTCAGCAGTTTCCAAGGGTCTTTGCTTGTGTGCAATCCAAAACCAAAATTAGGTCATTTTGATAAGCTTTTTCCCTTTAAATGCAGCCATTGACTCTCGCGCCCTTCGCCGGCGCTTGTTGCTACTAGTAGGCTATCACTAATAGCCTACTAGTAGCGTAGCCAATCAGAACGCACGATACATGATAGCTTACGAGTAGGTTTATACTAAAGTCTTATAGTCATGACTATAATCTTAATATAGTTGTGACTATAAGACTATAGTCATGACTATTAAGACTACAGTCATGACCACTAATACTATAATCATGACTACTAAGACTTTAGTCACGGCTATTAAGACTATAGTCACGGCTATTAAGACTATAGTCATGACTATTAAGACTATAGTCGTGACTATTACGACTATAGTCAGGATTATGAATTATCTAGAATGGCTC